ATTTTTAATTAAATAACTGACACTTACTATAGAATATTCAATGTAAAATAGGTTGTTAGGTTGCCAGGAATCAATTTTATGTAGTGCGAAAAATACTTTGGTCTACTGTATTCTTTTTAGGAATGTAAAAATAGAAAATATTTCTAAATTTTTCATTACCTTCCTTACATTTATATAGCTTTGTCAATTGTCTTGTCAACTTACATCATTGGTACGGTAGTTTAAAATTTAAAAAGGTATTTGTGGAGTCATTTATTAGACTAAATTTCAGTAAAAATTAAAAATTTAGGCTGAGTGCTGATATGGCTCACACCTGTTACCCTAGCTACCCAGGGAAGCTGAGATCTGGGGATCACAGTTGGAAACCAACCTAAGAAGGAAAGTCCATGAAACTCTTATTATCATCAACTAATCACAGAAAAAGCCAAAAATGGCACTGTGGCGCAAGTGATAGAGTGTCAGCCTTGAGCAAAAATTGCTCAGGGACAGTGCCCAGGCCCAGAGTTCAAGCCCCAGGACCAGCCCCTTCTCCCCCCCCCCAAAAAAAAAAAAGATTAAAATGCTCCAAATTATTACCATCTTTTTTTTTTTTTTAAACCAGTTCTGGGGCATGAATGCATGAACACGTCCCTTCCTCAAAGCTAGCACTCTATCATTTGAGCCACAGTACCATTTCTGGCTTTTTCTGTTTATGTGGTACTACTGTGCAATCTTTTGGTCAGTTGTAGGGCTTGCACTCTGGACCTTGGTGCTGTCCTTCAGCTCTTGAGTGCTCTACCACTTGAGTTACAGCACCACTTCCAATTTTCTAGTGGTTAATTGGAGATAAGAGTCTTACGGACTTTATTGCTCGGGCTGGATTTGAACCGTAATTCTCAGATCTCAGCTTCTTGAGTAGCTATGATTATAATAGGCATGAGCCACCAACGGCTCCCACAAGTTTTTCAAACAACCTGATGCCACAGTTGATACTCAAAAGGAATGATGAAGAGTGTGTGTGACACCCGGCCCAAGTTAAATTTTTCTTTTTTTGGGGGGAGGGGTCCAGTCATGGGCCTGATCTCTGGGCCTGGGCACTGTCCCTCAGCTCTTCACCTCAAGGCTAGCGCTCTACCACTTGAGCCACAACGCCACTTCCGGCTTTTTTTTTCTGCTTATGTGGTGCTCTGGAATCGAACCCAGGGCCTCATGCATGCAAGGCAAGCGCTCTACCACTGAGCCACCTTCCCAGCCCTCAAAATAAATTTTTTAACCTTATCAATTGTACTGTACTGTATCGCATCCTCAGAATATTGTATAAAATTTACATTCTCATTCTGATCATTCTTGGATCGCAATGTCAGTGGAATTCTGTGATTGTTTTATAAGATAGAGTGAATTTCTGTAGTTGTATCAGCATTTCTGAACTTTTCTACTGTAGATGGCCCTAAACATCAGTACTCCAGATCTCAGCCTCTCTTTGCCCTCCCACCCCTGTAATACTGGAAATTGAGTTCAGGGCCTGGTACATGCTAGGTAACCATTACAATACTTGAAGCATGACTCCAGTTGTATTAGCATAAGATTACATTCATTCATTCATATTACATACATTAATACATACATAGATATGTACATACTGTCTTTTATCCTGTGGTTGTGTTTCTATTATGCAACTTCTCAAAACTTACAGGAAGATCATTTTACTGTTCTACACTTAGATTTTACAAAAGTAGAAATTATTTGGAAATTTTATAAAATGACAAATTTATTTATATGACAATCAACAAGTTACTTACTATGTCTTCACTGTAGCATCATAATTATCTTTTATTAATTTTCTGAGTAACCTTCATATAACCTTCCTGTAATGTCATAGTATAATGATTAATACTTTTGAAAAGGTGAGTCTCTTTAATGTACCATCTTGCATTTTTTGTTAATACTTGTGTCTAGATTTCAATGTCAAAAAGCCTTTTTTCTATGCCTATTCTATTTGCTCTCCTGTGTTTACTTTGGTCATTTAGTCACTGCCCAGCTAGCTCTTTGCTGTAGCCAGTGACGTGTTGATGATCCATCAACATTATTTTAATTTTCACAAGAAGTCAGTTCTGTTTTTCAGTAGAATTTAAATTTTTATTAGATCAGTTCATACCTTTTCTTGTATATAGTACCATATTCACCTGGTATATCTCTAGAGATTTAATACTAAACCAGATCTGAAAGGTAAGTGTTTAGTGACGACCTTTTTTTTCCACATTATTGACTAATCTTTCACTGTTTTTGTACTTCCTTATACTACATACTTTTTTCCCTGCAAAACCAACAAAGATCCAAGATACAAGTTTATATGAAAGTATTTCATAATATGTGATATGAGAATGGAAAGCATTTTTCAGAATTAAAGTTCCTCTGTACCCTGATGAAACATGTATTAAAACCATCTTAGAAAGTTTTTTTTTTTTTTTTTACTTTTCTCCAATAACGGAAATTCTGATTTACATTTCAGTGATATGAATTTTGTGTTTTTTAATAAAAAATGCTTTTATTATAAAATGAATATAAACATGATCAAACTGTAGGAAATGTGAAAGCATCATTGTATGTTCATGTATTACCTTTCTAATTATTTTTCTTAATATGTAAAGCATAAATCCAATTCATATTGACAGTTATTCTGATAATTGTATTAATATTTAAATACATAACATGTCATATAGTTTAGATTTCATGAACTAGAAGAAATGCTTATGGTGTGAATTTTTTGTTTTGATTTTATTCTTGTTTTTAGTATCATTTTAATACATTTTAACCTATTGGTCAGTTGTCATTTTTCATATAATAATATGTGTAAGTACTTGTAATATTAAAAATATTACAGTTATAATTACCTTAATTTACTTAATTATTACTTTTTGGCCAGTCCTGGGGCTTCAAATCAGGGTCTGAGCACAGTCCCTGAGCCTCTTTTGCTCAAGGCTAACACTCTACCACTTGAGCCACAGTGCCACTTCTGGCCTTTTCTGTTTATGTGGTATGGAGGATTCAAAGCCAGGGCTTCATACAGGCTATGCATGCATTCTACCACTAAGCCACATTCCTACCCTGCTTAATTATTTTTAGGGATATTTATGTTGTTTCAATTTTTTTTACATTTTCTGATAGTATGAACAATATTCATGTAACAGTTCTTATCATTTGGATTACTTTCTAGGATCATGTTCCCAAAATAGAAGTTTACAATAATAAGATATAAGCAATGTGACTTGTGGTAAATATTGTCAAATTATGTTTTAAAAGACTTCCCTCACTGATAATGTGTAATTGTGTCACCTTTCTCACATCCCTGGATATCCTGAGCATTATAATTTTTAGATGAAACTGCTCTCTTTTTATGAGTTTGACTACTAATAAGTGGGGGTCATTACTTTTCACCATTTGTGTATCATAAGTTTTTTCTTCATTGTTTATTTGTCACTTTTCCTGAGACTTTTTTTTTTCTTGTTTTTAAGATAGTATCTTGCCAGGGTTCAATTTTTCCTAGGACATGCTAGGCAGTCCAGACTTGAGATACTCTACCTCAGTTTCATAGTATGCTATTATGTCTGTGCTACCATGCCCAGCTTTAAGCCTTAATTTTTTTTTCTTTTTCACATAGTTGTACAGGGAATTTCAATTTAATGTGTTTGCCTGTGTATTATGGTACAATGCTTTTTTCCCCCATCTTGGGTCAGTACTAGGATTTGAACTCAAGGATTTGATCTCTTGCTTAGGTATTTTGCTCCTAGCTAGTTGATACCATTTGAGCCATGCTTCTAGTTTAGCTTTTTTGCTGGTTCACTCATAACAACAGTTCCAGAATTGTCTCCTTAGGTTTGCTTTTAACCACCATCCTTAAATCTCAGCCTCCTGAACTGAATATCTAGGATTACTGGCATAAGCCATCATTGCCAGCTTGTGTTCTGTGTTTTGTTCTAAACTTGACCTATAAATATATTTGAAACAATCTTTTTTTTGTGTGTTGTGGGGCCTGAACTCGGCCTGGGCACTGTCCTTCAGCTCTTCAGCTCAAGGCTAGGGCTCCACCACTTGAGCCACAGTGCCACTTCCAGCTTTTTCTGCTTATATGGTGCTGAGGAATTGAACCCAGGGCCTCATGCATGTGAGGCACGTACTCTACCACTGAGCCACCTTCCCATCCCCCGTTACATACTTTTTAAGTGGATGAATTATATGGTTTGTAAATTATGTTTTGAAGCTATTAGAATAAAAATAGAAAAGAAGGAAGAAAAAAAAGAATTGAATAAAGGGGGATGGGAGAAAAGAGGAGAGAGGGAGAAAAGGGTTGTTGTAAAAAAGGGGGGTATTCAGCAACTTCCAGTAAAGTGGAAGTTGATGAGCTCCTACTCTGGTTATTTTACATAGTGTTTCAAATTGTTTTATTGGCTGGTTTTATTAAATTAGAATGTATTATGTGTTACTATGCTTATTTTGCAAAGTTCTTTACTTTTGTTCACTTCTAATATGTATAAAATGTAATTTTTGATATTTAGTAGGATGGGGAAGAGGAAGTATATATGTACTTCATCGTTTGTCTTCAAGCATGGGTTATTATTTTAATGCTTCTTACACTGATTTTGAGCATTACAATAATAAGCAGCAGTTTTCTGTAGAAAACTTAGTTACTTGAAATGAGAAAGAAGACACTGGTTTCAGTATGTTTGCTGGTAAATGTAATTTTGACATTGTCGTTCTGATTTTGAGTAACCAGTTTGCCACATATGACCTTGTTTAATGTAATTGTTCATAGCTTAAATTCTTATTGTTCATTTATAGAAAAAATTAATATGGACAGTTAGCACACTAGTTATATAGTACTTTAATTCATTTATTTAACATAATTACATAAACTAAAAGTTCTACCAGTCATATTTTATATGCTTCTAATTAGAAAAAAAACTTGCATTGTGACAGCAGTCAAAAACTAACTTAGTTTTTTTAATACTGTGATTTTCTTACAGGTTTGACGAACTTGTAAAAAAATTCCAAGTTGAGTATCATGCTGGTGGCTCTACCCAGAATTCAATTAAAGTGGCTCAGGTTGGTTAATATTTTTTAAATTAACAAGAAAAAGATTTAAAATGATTCTAAACTTGTATTAATTTTATAAATGTAATTGTTTCAATCTGCATTTTATTGCTGTAGGAAAATGTTTTTTCATTTCGGATTGGGAATTAAGTCATTAGCTATCTAGTAAACAAAAATTATTTTAATTCATCATTATTAAGTTTCAGTATCTTTCTTTTTCTTTTTGTCGGTTATGGGCATGAACTCTGGGCCTGGCCGCTGTCCCTCAGCTCTTCAGCTCAAGGCTAGTGCTCTACCACTTGAGCCACAGCGCCACTTCTGCCTTTTTCTGCTTATGTGGTACTGAGGAATCGAGCCCAGGGCCTAATGCATGCAATACAAGCACTCTACCACTGAGCCAGCCACCTTCCCAGCCCTTCAGTATCTTTTAAGAAGATAATTTACATTTCTTTATTTCCTGTATTCATTTACTTATTTTATAATTTTTACATGTTATTTTGTAGAAATTCTTCATATATTATTAGCTTATAAATTATCTTATAAATTATTCATAAATTAGAAATGTTTACTCATTGTGTGTCAATGGTTGTTTACTTTTCTCCCAAAAGTTTTTATTGTAAATAATTATCTCCTTATTAGCTTAGTCATATCACAAATGAACATATAGCAGCCTTATATTGTGCCTTTGATTGCTCTATGTAACTAAGTTACATATAAATTATTACATGAAATTACATTTCATGAATCAGAACTTTCACAGAAGGTTCTCCTGTGGAAAAACCAATGGGAATTTTTTGATAGTAAATGTAGACTTTATAATATAGAATCCAATCTGTAATATATTACCAGTAATTAAACATATATATCAAATAATGGACTCAAATGAAGAAAGGTTTTTCCAAAGCACCTAGGTATTTTAATTTGTTGAATCTTGAAAATTTTAACAAAACCATGGGCCTATATGTCCAATAAACATGTATTTGACAGACAGTAGAGAAACAAATTTTCACAAATTCTGTTTTGTCTACACTTCCTACTAATGTAAAAAAGTGACTTTATTTGTTAAGGAACCTGAATACCTTGCATATAACACTACTAAAAGGGGGATTGATTTGTTTGCTTGTAATATTGATGCTTTCAGAATAAACATTTTTTGGTCAATTTCCAGTTTTTATCAAATGTACAGTCATTTTAAGGTAAAATTTTTTTCTGGAAAGAAAAATATTGCCTTGGTTGGGTATATTACTAAGAGATGATTATCATTATTGCTGTATAAAAATTCCTTGCAACAAAATATTATCAAAACTTGGAGCAAAAGAAAGATATTCTCTACTTAATACAATGAGGATTCTAATGGGAATACAATAAAAAGTAGAGATTTACATGCTGTTTCTTCCCAAGTATTTGATAATATTTGAAGAGGCTGTGAAAAGCTAGAAGATATACAACAACAACAACATCTTCATTTTTATGCCAGAAGACTGCTTCAAAAGCCAAGAAAAGTCATAAAGAATTTTCTCAGTTCTTTTAACTAAACTGTAGTTTGTTTGCAATCTACTTGTTGGCATCACAAATTTTCATTACCTTTGTGCTTTAAAATCATTTCTGTGATAAAAGTAGTTTAACTTAGGATGATGTCCACTGTTTTTAAATGATGGACATTTAAGTATGAATAAACTTATATAATCAATCTTTAAATACAAAGAACATAATTCATATAGTCAAAATAAGAAAAAGGCACAAAGTACACGGATGGCTTTTAGAGCTAAAAACAACTTCCAAAATGTTCCTAAGCAGCAGTGTTGCTATTAAGTAGAATCTTGTGTATTCCCTGGTTACTTGCTTTCAACCAGAGAATATTTAGATTAATATCATAATGGACTGATACCAACAATGTGAATTTGATATATCACAATTACAAATTGTTGTGGTTTTTTTGTGTTTTGGGTCCGGTTGTGGGGCCTGAACTCTGGGCCTGGGCGCTGTCCCTCAGCTCTTCAGCTCAAGGCTAGTGCTCTACCACTTGAGCCACAGGGCCACTTCCAGCTTTTTTCTTTTTGCTTATGTGGTGCTGAGGAATCGAACCCATGCGTGCAAGGCAAGTGCTCTACCACTGAGCCACCTTCCCAGCCCACAAATTGTTGTTTTACTTTTGATTACATTGACTTTTACCACATGTAAGAGAAGAATAACCAAATGGTTCTAGTCAGATAATTATTATTGGAAAGGAAACAGTAATAAAACAGTATAAAACAGAAACACTTTAGTTGGGTAGATGTTAGAGTACTTCTCCAGCAAGTTCCAAGCACTGAGTTCAGTTCCTACTCAGTACTGAAGAAAAAAATGAAAACAAAGTAGGGGAGGAGGAATTTTAAAAATTAAATAATTCTAAAATCTATTTACCACAATCAACCATACTTATGCTCTTAAAATATTTCAATTTATTTTAAAAATATCTAATATGATCCTTAAAATATAATTATCAAATAAAGAGTTAAGAAATGTTAATATGTTACAGTGTTTATTTTAATGAAAGAAACATAAACATTATTTTATTTTCTCACACATACTGGTTTCTTTTATTCTATTACTACTTATTTCCACTAATAGCTAGTCCTATTCTTTTAACTAAATAATAGCATTTATATAACAAGTAAATAATGTAGAGTAATATAATTATAAATAAATTCTGCACTAGTTTGCTAGGGCTGTCATAACAACATACTGGAGACATAGGTCTTGAACAACAGATATTACGAAAAAAAGAAACCAGATGTATTTTATTACAATTCTGGAAACTAGAAATGAAGTCCAGGAATAGTGTCAGCTGCTTCGATTTCTTGGGGAAGCCTCTTATCTTGGCCTACAGATGGCTACTTTCTTACTGATGTTCACATAGTTGATTCTCTGTGCATGTGCATTCCCTGAGTCTTTCTGTGTATCTAATTGGATTAAGATCCATTATGTCATCATTAATTTAATTATCCTGCTAAATGCCTATCTCTACATTTGTTTTGGGGTGTTTGGTGTTTTGGGGTTTTTTTTTTGTTGGTTGTTAGGACTTGAACTCTGGGCCTGGGTGCTGTCCCTCAGCTCTTCAGCTCAAAGCTAGTGCTCTACCACTTGAGTCACAGCGCCACTTCTGGTTTTTTCTGTTTTTATGGTGCTGAGGAATTGAACCCAGGGCCTCATTCATTCGAAGCAAGCACTCTACCACTGAGCCACCTTCCTAGTCTAGAGTTTTGATAGTATGTTATTTTGACTCTTTTTTCCCTTTCCGGTAGTTCTCCTCTCCTTCCCTTTCTCCCTTTCTTCTCCCTCTCTTCCTCCTGCCCTCCCTATCTCCTTTCCTTCCTTTATTTTTTGATAGTACTTGATTTGATCTTACAGCCTTGAACTTGCTAGGCCAACTCTACCAAATGTTTCATGTCACAGCCCTTTTGCCTCTGGTTATTTGTGAGATAGGGTCTAGCTTTTTTCCCAAGCCAACTTGAAATGTAATCTTCCTATTTACCCTTTCACCATAGCTGAGATGAAAAGGGTATATCACTATGCCCCGCTTTTTGAGTTGAAGTTTGGTTTCACAAAGAATTGTCTCCTAGAACTATACAACTATGATCCTTTTGATGTCAGCCTCCTACATAGCCAAGATGTGTATCCCCGGTGTGCTTGGCTATTAATTGAGATAGGTCTTGTGAACTTTTTATTAGACTAGCCTTGAACCAAAATCTTCCCGATCTCCAACTTTGAGCTGCAAGTACTGAACTCTTTCTTCTTTCTTCTCTCCTTCTCTTCTTCTCTTGCCTTCTTTCCATTTTGACAGTATGTGGATTTAAGCTCAGCTCCATGCACTTGATAGATAGGCATTGTACCACTTGATCAATATCTCCAAGTCCAGAGTTTTTTTTTTGGCGGGGAGTTCGTTTTTTTTTGTTTTGTTTTTTGGTAAGTATTGGGCCTAGGCATTGCCTCTTAGCTTTTTTGCTCAAAGCTCCACCACTTTGAGGAAAGAATCGAATCTACTTTCCTGCCCACGCTGGCTTCTAACTCTGACTCTCAGATCTCAGACTTCTGAGTAACTAGAATTACAGGTGCAAGTCACATGCCTGGCCTCCAGATTTTCTTCCTTAATCAAATATTTATCACCACCAATAATGGATTTGAATTTTATTTCTCCAACATTAAAGACTGAGGTTTATCTCTTGAATTATTAGATCCCTTTTTCACTCATATAATTCTTCACCTTGTGTTTAGCCACTGATTTTTCAGTCTTCATTTCTTAACTTTCTTAGACAATCTTCCATAGTCTTTAATGTATAGTGAAATTTTAACCAGTTTTTGTTTTTTCCTTAATAAGTTTTTGGCTCACGTAGTAGCATATTTCACATAGTAGCCACTTCAATCCTTGGTACCTTAAAATTCAGAAATGGTTTAAGTAAGCTAGAATAGCATTGAACCAAAACTTATAAAGCTAGCATTGCAAAAACTATTTAGCATTTCCAAACGAGTAATACTGTGTAGAAGTTAAATTTAGAAGTAGAAATTATATTTTTGATAATCCCTTTTGTGACCTATCTGACCTAGGGATTTAAAAAGCTTTTTAACAGACATACACCTGTAAATCTAGGAGCAGTCTAGACTACTTAGATTATAAAAGAAGAAATGGCATCTCAGTGATCTAAGAGAAGGCTCTGTTCTAATGCATTACACCTGGAATAGTTGTAGAAATGTCAGTAGCACATCGGTATTTATAAATATCCCAGCAGGTTATGGCAGATGGTGATACAACACAGTCTTGTCAAGCCTTCCTGTCAATAAAAAGTAGGTTCTAGTTAATGTGGTTTTTAAGATTAATGAATAATGTTACATAACATGGATTCTCCTGAATTAAAAATCCTAAATTGTGATTTCTCCTCATAGTTTATAAAGTTTTAATATGAATGACTACCTCCTTTCTTTAGTGAACTTTGTCCCTGTTGAATTATGTTGTAAAATTTTGAGTTTTGTTGTCC